TCACAGGTTTGGTGTTGAAACAAATAATTGTTTTTTGTGATAAAACTGAAACAACAGAACATTTATTCTTTCAGTGCATGTATGTTGATATGGTCTGATATGTTTGACTGGTTATTTCCCACAGTTCCCAGTCTCCAAATGTTCTCTGAAAACAATCTAATTTATGGACTTATTATGGACAATAACAACAGAGACTTTCTCATCAACACTGTTATCATTCTGGGGACATTTTTCATCCATAAAGCTAAATATCTTCAGGTTAAACCAAATTTCTATCATTTTCACAATGACTTTACTTTGTACTGATTCTCTTAAAGTGATGCAAACTAAACATGCCCACAGTCTGAGCTCTTTAATTATATGATTTAACATCTAAACCCTGGACTTTTTTAAACTTCTTATCTTTATTTACACCCATCCTTTTCTCTTATATGCAAGTTTGTTTGAAACACGCCTTATTGTTTGTACATTATTATTATTTTGTGTTCTTTGTTGTTTAATAAAAAACCTTACAGGTGGCTAACAACTGTTAGCATGAATGTTGTGTAGCTAACTCACCTCCAAAGACTGGAGTCCGTAGAGAAAACTTCAGCACCGCTCGGACTTGGAGGATTTAACAACTTGTTGGATTTTCTGAGGACATTTTAATCACATTTCTCTGCATCATATTTTTGCTCTCACGGTTTCAGGACTTAGCTCATCTGAAACGGAAGCGACATCAGGAAGCGAAGCCTCGGAGGACGTGAGGTGAGGAAACAGCGCGCCCTCTGCTGGCCGAGACACGAAACTACAACAACAACAATAAAAAATCTGTGGTTTCAGCCTTAATTCAGTTCTATTTAATTTTCAGTATTTATCWAAACAGACAGCTTAATAAATCCACTGTATGAGTTTATGTAAATGTTTTGTTTTTTTGAACATTTATTAAATATTACTTTTTGTTGTTGATATACAGAAAAACACTGTCGTCCTTTTTCATGTGGCACAAAAACGTGCAAAAAAAACCTAAAAAAAAAAACCATTGTGATGGAATATGGCATTGTTATCATTAACTCACAGGATCATAATAAAACCCAGGAAGGCGGGGCTTAGTTCGTAATAAATGACAGTTTATTATAAAGATTACAATCTGTTAAAAGAGCTCATCAGTTGTCATCGAGCGCTCTCCACTTTATAGAAAAGAGAAAACTACAGGTAAACACACACCACTCAGTCCAGAAACCACAAACATACTGTAAAAAGAGGAAGCTAGTGAGGAAGAGGAGGGCAACCATTAATCATAACTGGGAGGAGGAAGGTTTCAGGTCAGTCAACAGGAAGCTGACGGACAGTTTTCACTCATCGTTCAGTCTTTGTTCCCGTTTAATTCGATAATTTATCTCCAGATGTCAGATTAGAGTCGATGATTTAATGTTACACATTTTTGAGTAAAAATTTACCCTAAAAAAAATCAACTAAAATCTACGTAACTTGACTCTGCAGCGCCTCCTGGTGCTCACGAGGATCTACGATTTCTTCAAACAGCTTTAAAAAACTTTACTGTTTCTAATGTTTTATAACAGGTTAAACTTTATAAAACTTTACTGTTTCTAATGTTTTATAACAGGTTAAACTTTATAAAACTTTACTGTTTTCTAATGTTTTATAACAGGTTAAACTTTATAAAACTTTACTGTTTCTAATGTTTTATAACAGGTTAAAC